TCTACTAACTAATCTTACAATTTCCTCCAGAAAAAAAATATTCATAGACACACCCAAAATAATGTTTTGCCAGCCATCTAGGAAACCGTTAGCCCAGTGAAGTTAACACATAAAATTAACTCTCTCTCTCATTTTTTTTCCAGAATTGCATTCTTCCTTTCTTTTATTTGATGGTTCAGAGGAAAAGTCACAAACCTACACAGCAGATAGTATTTTAGTTTACTACTGACTCCTTCCATGAGATGCTATTACCACATCATAGTTATAAGATAGAATTAAAAAACAAAACAGGAAAAAAGAGAAAGATTTTGCTAATTTACAAAATAGAAAGATTCCAAATTTGTTGATAAAATTTAAATTTGGGAGTTCTATACACTCCTAAGGAATATTATTGAGGTCCAACATGTTTTATAGTAAAATACTTTTTTTTTTTTAATCTGAGTAGCGGCAACCTGCAAAAACACAACGAAGTCCTCTGATATTGCTGAAGAAGGCAGCTATGATGCTAAACAAGTCTATGTGAAACCACACATACTGGCAAAGGCAGCCATGTATGTGTGGAGGACTCTAGACTCCGTGTTGTAACTGTATGGAAGGCAGATGACCATACGGATGTGATTGCCACAGATGCCTGCAGGGACAAAACWCCAAGTCAACAGGAATGCAATCATGTTATAGTGTTGACATAAACCGACTATGAAAAAGATCTTCTCAAATAAAAAGCTAGTCAGAATTTGTGGTGTTGACCGATGGGTGTGGAGACAGACTGACGATGTGGTCTCCAGATGTGTGCCCAAGTCTTCCACAACAAGGAGAGTGCATAATGCAAACAATAAGAYCAAGAAGGCAGGGTGCAACTCTGAACAAGTGGTCAACCTCAGGAAGCTAAATTCCTTCTCTCGAGTCTGGTTTATTCTGAACATTTCCAGATGAATTCTTCTGTTGAAAGGAAATAAAAGCAGACTGATTATATATGAATTATGCACATTTAACTTATTTATTTGAGATTCCCTCAATGTTTCACATCTTTTACAGAAACATACTATCACCCTATGAAAGTTAATATCTCGATTTTAAGGTAGCTATGCATCTATCACTTTTTTAGGTAGCACAAACTATGTACCAGGCTAAGCAACAGAAAGGAATTACTCCCAAAGCATCTTTTCTGACCTTGTGGCATTTATACTGTCATAGAGGACACACACACCCATTATATCTGAGGAAAGATAGCTGCAATAAAGGAAAACATAGAAAGAATAAAGAGGTGAAATAAAATTTTAGTAATGGTAAATAAGAAGCTAACTTTTACTGAGTAAATACTGTTCTGTCTCAAGTGCTTTATAAGTATCAATCCATAGATTCTTCTATGATGCATACCTAAGAGAAAATAATGTACATTTCTAAGAGGAAGAAATTGAGGGAGAGAGAAGTTGAGTAATGTGCCAACTCTGTTTGATTCCATGACTTTACCTATTAATTTAATAGAAAAATGATGGATTCAAGACCTGACCACAAACTCACTTTATTGAACAACTTGAATTTGTTGACACATTATAAAGAAAGATGTTTCCTTGTAGTAGATCATGTTATTTAGTGTGCTTGTATGTATAAAATCTGATCAAGAATGCGTTTGACAAAGCCAGCCTCAACGACAACAAGGTGCTAAGCAACTCAGTGAGACCTCATCTCTAAATGGAAATACAAAATAGGCTGGGGATGGCTCAGTGATTGCATGAGTTCAATCCCAGGTGCAAAACCAGGTGMAAAAAAATAAAAATAAAAAAGAATGCATTTGAAAGACAGAAAATGATTGTAGTATTCATTTCATGATTTTTTCCTTAAATGAAGAATAGTTGGGAAAAGAATATTATGAAAATAGGGGACAGAGCATAATACACACACTTGTAATTCTAGCTACTCCACACTAGGGCAGGAGGACCACTTGGCCACAACTTTATGAGAACCTATCTCAAAATAAAATACAAGAAGAGCTGGAAATGTAGCTCATTGATTCAATTATGAGTATAGTAAGAATTTTACAGGGCGATATGGGTATAAACTTTAATGTTAGACAGATTTGAACTTGCATTCAGACCTATGTGATTTTAGGTTAATAATGAGATTATGACCTGACCTTTAAAATACAGTTTACAACACTGACCCCACAATATTTACAGGCAGACTAAACAAAACAATATATGTTAAAACAATGCTTATTCTTTGGTAAAAAATGTTACACTTTCTCTTTTTTGTGTGCATGTGTCTTATTATTGAGATATATATATATATATATATATATATATATGTGTGTTTTATAGAATTCTAACAGATGTTTTATATATATATATATATATATATCAATAAAAAGTATCTGATGTAAGAAATGTTAGGATTGTAAAATTGTGAATCTATAAAACAATTTTAATACATATGTATATTTTTACTAAAGAAATACTAAAATACTAAAGCATGACCCTTTCAATAAAGTAGGGGGGAAAATATAAAATATCTTCTGATAATTATTTCTTAGGAAGTACCATAAATCTTCTCTATTTTTTTATCATATTTCCCAATTTTCTCAATAAATAATGTATCCAGTAGCTGAGCATATACTTATTCTATGTCCTACACACTATAAGATGGACTATAAAATAGACAGTATTAACAGGTTGACAGTGTGATTCCAGCCAGCCTGTCAATTCGTGAAGTCAYCTAGTGTAATTCTTCATTTATCTTAAACTTGTGTGTATCTGAGCATCTTTATGGGGTTCAGATTGCTAGAGTCATCCCTAAATGACAATGATTTATGGTCATTTGTATTTCTGAATTTACTGTTGACTTATGACTAATAGTATAGTTCCTTGAACTCTTTTGTTGGTCCATCCAAAGATGCTGTTCTTAAATCTCCAAAAATGGGAGCACAGAACTGATTTTGACAATGAAGATTTGTTTATTATTTTACATGAAATCATCATTGTACTTTTGTTTGGTTCCAAGTTAGGCTGTAAAGATAGAAGCATAAAGACTGAAATTAGAAAAAATAAATTGGAATAATAAAGGGGGTGAGTTTGCAAAACTAAATATGTGTGTTTAGTGAGGTAGTAATACATCCAAGTGTATGTTGAAGTAGAATTCCACAAATTATTAATTAAGTATACCAACTGAAAAACTGTTCTTTGTTTAATATGTGCGTTTTATAGAATCTGTGGGCAATTSAAGTTTCCATATGAAGACATTTGTATAAAAACATCTAGTTACAATAATTGTATGGAGTAAAATAGAATGAATGAATTGGAAAATGTTACCCGGTGGGAAGTACTGAGCAGAAATCCACTCTGAAGAAAACTGAGAAAAAAATATTTATATTTGAGACATCGACCATTTACAGTCTGTGGCTTTTCCTTTTTCATTGAAAGACAGGTGCATAGATGTGAACACAAATTCGTTCTAACAGATGTTTTTCCAGATTTGAAGTAACCTTGTGTAGCAGCTGGGTGGGCTGGGGAGAGTACATAAAGGATGCATATGTGTGTATCTTGCACAATCACTGAACTTTTATTCACTCAGATTCAATTGCTTTTTCTTCGGGTGCATCAGTACTTTTGCATTATTACATTAGACCATATAACAGATTGTGTTGATTGCTCTTTGCACTTTCACAACCCCTACATAATTGTACCATTCTGAAGCTCTTGAAAAACTCCTTGGTAGAGGAAGCAATGTGTGACTTACAAAGGTACTTTAAAATTTTGTCAACTTTGCTGATAATAAGTGACTTCACATTTACTAGGATTTTACATCTTTTAAAATATCAACTTGTTATTGTCTTGTTTATCATTAAAATACTTGCAAACAAGTCAACATGTTTTACTCTAAAATTAGATCCATAAATAAGCAATGGTAGTAAAATTTAAACTGTAAGAAATAACAGATTTCAGATCCATCCAGAAAAATTGTTAATAAAAGAGAGATGTTGGAAGGCATGAGAATTCCTGGYCCGAAATGTCACTGGTGATAAGCTCTACAGAAGTCACAATTGTTTGAGGACAGTYCTATGGCTCCTTGTAGGAGCCAAACAAGTTAATATCTAAAAAGTAGCTGTCTTGAAAATCATTCCAGTATTCTATTGTGGCAGAAAGAAGAAGGTGTCTTATTGAAAGTTATCCTCCCAAGTGAGAGAAATAAGTTGATTTCAGAATTGACATGAAGGGTTAGTATAAAATGTTTCCCCAGAGGTGAAACAGAGTAGTTCTCCTCCACAGATGTGGGGACAATCCTTTGAAACACAGGATTGAATCCCTATGCAGTAAGTATTATAGAATGATAAGCCACTAAAAATCAGCTCATGAGAGTCAATGTGTTTTACCCATTTTGTGTAAAAGTATACACACAATCACACATTTCTTTGTAGATACATATTAAAAAAATTTTCTGGAAGCCAATCATGGTGGTGCATGCCTRTAATCCCAGTGGCTCAGGAGGCTGAGACAGGAGGATCAAAATAGCCAGCCTCAGCAATTTAGCGAGACCCTGTCTCAAAATAAAAAATCAAAAGGGCTGTAGATGTGTCTCAGTGTGTAAGCACCTCTGGGTTCAATCCCTGGTACAATTTTTTTTTTCCTGAAAACTTAAGAAATTGTTAATGGTAGTAAATCTGGAAGTAAAACTGGAAGGTCAGGGTGGGGGAAAGAAATGTTTTACTCTAGATGTCTTTCAATAAAATGTATAATTTTTTTAATATAATGTATAAAATTGTAGATACAAAAGTATACATACAAAAGAAGAATATTCATTTTCCATATCTAAATGCACACCTCCTCCCTGTTCACACAAACATTACCCTTATATGTCATGGAAACGATAAGTCTTTTGTGTTTTGCTGATAGATTATATATTTTCATTATGGCAATAAAATGAGCATTACTATAAATTCTGTTAAATTTGGATACAGTTCTTACAAATAGATCTCTGATTTATGGAAAGAAAGATACTCGGTGACTTTATTTAGAGAGCACATTTCTTCTGATGAGTTTCCGAAAAGCTTGTTTCACATCCTTGTTTCTCAGACTATAAATGATGGGATTCAACATAGGGCTGACAAAAGTGTAGAAAACAGCAATGATTTTGGACTGTTCGACTGACTTGTCCGTGGGAGGTCGAACATACATGCAGAACAGGGTCCCATAAAACACAGTCACTGCCACCAGGTGGGACCCACAGGTAGAAAAGGCTTTGCGCCTGCCTTCAGCAGAACGCATCCTCAGAATGGCCATGAGAATGAAGATGTAGGAGATGAGGATAATGAGGAGGGAGTTGGAGAGATTAAACCCTGCTACCACAAACATGGATGTTTCCTTAATGAACGTGTCAGAGCAGGAGAGCCGGATGAGGGGGGGATCTGCGCAATAGAAGTGGTTAATGATATTGGAGCTGCAGAAGGTCAGGCGGTAAGTCCACATGGTTTCCATCAGGCCACTAAGGAACCCATAGACATAGGGACCAGCAATCAGGCGAGCACAGACTCCTTTGGACATCTTGCTGCTGTAAAGCAAAGGGTTACAGATGGCCATGTACCTGTCGTAGGCCATCACAGCTAGCATATAATACTCAGTAATCACCATGGCAATGAAAAAATAGCACTGCACTAAGCAGGCAGCATAGGAAATGGTTTTCTTCTCCGATAAAAAGTTCACCAACATCTTGGGAGTCACATTAGTGGAATAGCACAAGTCCAAACAGGACAAACTGGCAAGAAAGTAGTACATGGGAGTGTGTAGGCGGGAGTCCACTTTGATTAACACCACCATCCCAAGGTTGCCCCCAACAGTGATCAGGTAGATCACCAGGAACAGCACAAAGAGGATKGGCTGAAGCTCTGGGCGATCCGTCAATCCCAAGAGAATGAATTCTGTCACCAAGGTAGAATTTCCTCTGACCATTTTCTTAGATACCAACATGTTCACTTGGGTGAATTGAAATGAATGAAGGTGGTGAATAAGATGTCTCTCAGAGGTTTCTCCCACTTATTCTCCCTTTCTTCCACTCTTCCTTTCTCATGAACCCTCACAGTATTATTGGAGAAAGTCTGAGAACATAGGGGACGATTATCGTAAGAAGGTCTTGGGCTCAAATAGCTGAGTATACATTGTGCAGATGATTCCTACAGTGTCTCCTGAGCCACCAATGTGTATGTGAATGGGAGATTTATGAGTTAAAGTTTGTGCAATATCAGACTGAACCTCCAGCTTCCCTTTATAGAACCACGGGGATCTAAAATTTGTGCTTGATGCTGCTTCTGTACAATTTGTGTAGAAAATATTTTTGGGTTTTTTTGCTGTCACCAACAGTGTGTGCATATTTAGAAGCTTCACTTTCTACAGTCTATATAAGCCCAGAATTAGAGCTTCTTTAAGGAAATTCTCTGGAATAAAGTTTAGTGCTAAATTTGTTAGACTTAGGAGCACAACTTTCATATGAAAATATACCAAGATAAGATTCCAAATTTTAAAATAACAAAAGCCTATTTGAATAACAAGGAGATTTTTTTTAGTTACATGAGTTTGCATGAATACGGCATGATGAGACATACATAGAAAAAGGGCAAAAAAGACACCMAAAACTAAAGCATAGTTTCATTTGCTCATCTATTTACCTTTTTTTCTGATATATCCCAGAAAACATGTAAGGGTATTTGAAGTATAGCAAAACTTGGGGGCTGGGGATATAGCTCAGTTGGTAGAGTGCTCGCCTCACATTCACAAATCCCTGTGTTCCAGCCCAGAACCACCAAAAAAAAAAAAAACCTTGACCAATTTATGCTGCTRATAGAATATAAATTGAACTGTAAACTTTGCCAAAAGCATGTACAAATGATTCAACTGTCTTCATCTACTATTATAATGTCCAGAATTATAAAATAAAAACTAATGAAGAAAGAATTATTCTTAGTACAGAGTTTTCAGGTGATACTAGTTACAGTGAATTTACATATTCATATAATATTACCAATTCAAATAATGAAATAATATCAGTTATAATTAAAAAATTTGAAAATTATTGTCCTGGGATTTTAGATAATATATTTTCATTCTGTATTCCCAAAGTTATCCCTTTTTATTTCATAAGAGGTAAGGGATCAAAACCTAGTTGCCTATGATAGCCATCGACACAATATGAGGGAATRAAGGGAATCAGAGTGTGGTTCCAGTATAAAGAGGCTCCAAATATGTAATATAATCTCTGCTATGTGGTAACACATGGCCCCTGTTATACGAACTTAACAGATTTTAAGTATCAGAATTCATTAAATTCATGTAAACTCTACAAAAAATAGCACTGGCAATTAAATTTAGTTGTAAACCTATCTTTAACAAGGGCAGAGAACAGAAGTATGTAGGCATGATCTTCTGTGATTACAAACAACAATTTCATGCAATACCAGTGTCACCAGCTCTGTACTTCCACTGTGTAAACTATTCCTAGAAAGACAGTCACATACATACATGAATGTGATTTAGTTATTTTGACTCTGGTGCTCTCAGAATGCTGCATAATCTTATCATTAGATGAGATAAACTTGTACAGAAGCAGCATCAAACACAATCTCAAACATGCAAGCTGTTTCCTGAGAAAATAAAGAAAACCCATAACAGTGCTTGTCTTTGAAGAGTGGCTTGGTGTCTTCATGGTAGGGGAGATGAAAATTATAATGAAATATGCTTAGTTCAATAAGAAAGAATTTGAACTCATAATCATATTATTTCAGTACATCTTGGGCAATGTATTGAGAAATCAGGTTAGGTGTTGAAGAACAATAACCTTTAACTGCAACTTAGAGAAAAACATGGAAATGGTTTTGGGCAAGAGTGGGCAAATATTTCTGTAGTATAAACAGCACATACAGAGACTTTTCTCAGGAGACACTTAAGAGAAATCAGAGATATTTCACATGGAAWCGAGGTGAGTTTTCAACTGTTACAAATAAGAAATTTAAGAAGCAGTACATAGCCAAACAAACTTAAAGCACCCCTCACTGTTTACTGTGGTTAGAAAGATTGCTTATTCATTCAATGTTTATGTAAGCAACAGCCAAATTGATCTGTCATGACTCTTACCATTCTCTAATTCCTATGCTAATACAGAATAAGTCATTAAAATATGAGAGAAATTGACAAGTCAGTTTTGTAGGAGCCAGACCATTTTGTTCTTTGTAGAAATAGCATATAGAAAAATAATTAAACCACAGTGGGGAAGAGCAGTAGAGATCCCTCTCAACAGAGGTTTCCCCAGAACACCTGWGTCCTATATGAAAAATCTGGGTGATGTGGAGTTAGCAAGTATAGCAAAGAGTTTTTAAATATCTATATTCCTTCTTGAACTAAACAACAGAAATAAAGTTACATGTGAGGTTTCACTGGCTTGATAATGTGAAATTGCTTTCCTCTGTGTTAAAATGATAAAGAAAARCAAGACAATAAACCCAACACAGATTTGTCCACTTAATGAATTGGATTCACAAGGATATCTATAAATACATATAGTTATTTTTTATTATGGGAAGACTCAAAAATTAAACCCACATTACTTGTCACTTGGCATGTTGTTAGGGTTCTGTCATTAAGCAAAATATAAGGGGTGCCATTTATGAGGAATTGGTAAGCATGATATGTATTTAGATGAAGTTGGAAGTTCCAAAAATTTCCAATCCTCCCAGCTCAAAAAAATAAAGAAATCACAACTAATGATAGTCAGAAACACAATCAGCAAAAACACATTTCTACAAATGTCATTGGTACCTGAAATACTACTTTTGGAAATGTCCATTTATGGGTAAGTGTGTCTTCTCTCAGGCTTKTTAAAATGCAAGTGTCAGAAGGACTGGGCTAGCCTGCAACTACTGTCAGTTACTGACTAGTCCTTGAGCACAGTGACACAAGGTTCCTGTTAAACGGATTCAGTGGGAGACTAGAAGAGGTTGACGCCAAGGAAAAGGCCCAAGAAAATAGAAGTGCTACTGAAGCTTAATTTCAGTCATTAAGCCCCTAAAGTACGTCTACTGGGTAATAAGACAAAATAAGTCTGGGAAATTAATCAAAAAAAAAAAAAGAAAAAAAAAAAAAAAAACACTGGTAGGGAACAGAGATAAGCAGCCAGGCAGTGGGAGTAGAACTGTGGATATTAATTTTCCAGGAAGGAGCTCTTTCCTTGATGGACTCCAGCACCTTCCTTCCCTTTAGTTTTTCATTCCAGTGTCTCACAAATAACGAGAGCAGGGAACATTACCTTGTTACAATGCAGGAACCTGAGTTCCAGATCATTTTGTGCAGTGTACTTTAGTGCTTCTCAGGGAAGATTCTTTTGAATCTTTATTTAGAAAATAGTCTCTTTGCCTAGATGCAGTGACTATTTCCATGGGATTCCAAGGCTACTCAGTGTCAGAGTTTGACTAGTTCCCAAGGTGTCCAGCATCCCCAAAGTTCTGATATTACACTCAGGGGTTTACCAAACCTACACTCATTGGTAGTAATGTTTCCCTTAGTTAATATTATAGTTACCTCCCAATTTTCTCTAATAATTTAAAAAGGGGTTTTAATGTTCTAGAAACATTGAAATATATATATATATATATATATATATATATATATATATATGTTTATGTATAGAGAGATAGATATAGATATATATGATTCCTAGAATAAATATTATTCCTGCTTAATTTATCTTTCTTCATCTTAATTATCTATCTTAATTTATCTTTCTTTTCTTTTTACTATTTCTGATAAAATATTTTTTGGGGGATCAGGGGATTGTCCTTTCAATGGGTATTATTCTAAACATATTAATACCATGATCAAAGGAAGTGTTTGCTCCATTGATGATCTAAATGTGTGTTGTCTAATCTATATTGTCTAAATGTGGTTTTCTTAATATGTGTTCAATACTTGTATGAATGGTGAGAATTTTCAACACATAGTTTAATAATTTTTAATATTCTCCCATGACACATCCAAATAACAAATGCACATTGATTTATATTAACTGGCTAAAGAACTAAGCTATCATTTAAAGCTGCTATTGCTGTCACCTGTCCACTACTAATAAATCTAAATATGAAACAAGAAAAGAAAGTGCAAGTATAAAAGAATTTTTATTCCTACCTGATCCCAGGAAAGATTCTCTCAGAGACACTAGTGGTCCAAGATATGAGTTGCAGAAGATTTATATCCACTTGCAATTTGGAGTTTTTATTCCTAAAATATTTCAACACACCCTAAAGACATAATTACAATGTAACTACAAAAGATCGCTCTAGGGGAAAATTAGTAATTGGTTTAGGCTTATTTCCTCTAGAGTCTTGGGAATTCAGCAATGTGATTTCATCAGTTTATAATCACTTTGAGCTGATTGCTTTAAATGATCAGGAATTTACTCTATAGTCTCACAGGATTTTTGCATTATTGATTATTACTTATTCTAATTAATGAAGATAGCAATTAATAAAGATATTTAATATTGGTATAATTCATGAACTCTGATGTTTTTGTGTTTCCTTCCCTGTCTGAATCCTGTATTGACCAACACTTTCCACAAAGGGGCTGGAATAACATRAGTAAATTATAAATCCAATCAGTAAAATAATCTGAACAAGTCAACATAATGAGTTATAGAAGAAGAGTTAGTTCAAGATATTAGAGTCAGGTGCTGGGAAGTGATATTTTGTGGATAATCTGATAAGCATATACTTAGTAGTATTTAGTTGCCAAATCATGTAAACAAAGGGGAAAGATTGAAATATTCTGCCTGACTTTTACTTCCTTTTACCAACTCTTAAACTTATCTAAGAGTTACAAATATAAGCTGGATATGGCACATTTGCTCAAATAATATTTAGTACAATTATAAAGGCAAAAATAGACACATAAATACTTAATCAGAGGCATATTTTCCAAATGACATA